CAAGAAAAAGAAGATTCTGTCCGAGGTGGAAAGTTTCAACAGCAGCACGCTGAGCACTTCATCCACCAGACCTCTCCCTGCAAGGACACCCAAGACCCCCTTCACTCAAAAACTTGGCTATTCCATTTGCCCTGCCTCTTCCATGGTCCTGCTGTCATCCATGAACTCCTCTTCCATAGCAGAAGTGATGCTGACGGATGCAGGAAAGGTGTATGGCGAATGCCAACAAGATGGCCCCATCTCCTTTGAGGAGTGTATCCCCCTGGAGAAAATGCAAAAATGCAAGAAAATTGGAGAGGGGGTATTTGGGGAGGTTTTCAAAACAGATGGCGAGAAGGGAGCTGTGGCTTTGAAAATAATCCCTATTGAGGGGAGCACCAAAGTCAATGGGGAAGCTCAGAAGACCTTCAGTGAGATCTTACCGGAGATCATCATTTCGAAAGAACTCAGTCTTTTGGCTGAAGAGGAAGATAACCAGACTTCTGGGTTTATTACCTTGTATTCGGCACACTGCGTGCAAGGAGCCTACCCTGAACGTCTCCTGAAAGCCTGGGATGAGTACAACCAGCTGAGAGAGTCTGAAAACGATAGGCCAGATTTCTTTGGAGCTCAGCAACTCTTCATGATCCTGGAGTTTGAGTTTGGGGGCACCGACCTGGAGAACATGAGGAACCGGCAGCTGAACTCTGTGATGGTAGCTAAAAGCATCTTACACCAGGTCACTGCTTCTTTGGCAGTGGCAGAGGAAGCGTTGCAGTTTGAGCACCGAGACCTGCACTGGGGGAATGTGCTGGTTAAGAAAACTACCTTGAAGGAGCGGAGTTTTAAGCTGAGAGGGGAAAGCCGCACCCTTCCCACTCAGGGAGTCCTTGTGAACATCATAGACTACACCTTCTCCAGGTTGGAGAAAGATGGCCTGACGGTGTACTGCGACCTCTCGACTGATGAAGAGGTGTTCCAAGGAAGAGGGGACTATCAGTTTGACATTTACAGGCAGATGAGAGAGGAAAACTCGAACAGCTGGGCTGACTATTTCCCCCACAGCAATATCTTGTGGCTTCACTACCTAGCAGACAAACTTTTGAAAGAGGTGTCTTACAAAAAGAAGCCCACATCCTCCTCGATGAGGCAGGTGCAGAAACAACTTGAGTTGTTCTCTAAACAGGTTCTCAGCTTCTGTTCTGCCACAGAATTGTTAAACACAAGCACCTTCTTTCACTGACTTGAGGCGAACGGTAGGTGCCATGTGGGCACTTAGCTCTGCAGGAAGTGTTTTCTAAACCAACAGCAATTATATTTTATGTATATAGCAGTAGAGGATAGAGCAAATAAACAGCAAGAAGGGAACTTTTTATTTCCTAATTTGATTTATGTTATTGATCGATTTCAGCCTAGATGTGAACTTAAAAAGATAGCTTTGCATTCACCTAACTAAAAAAAAAAAAAAGATAACATTTTGTTTCCTAGACAGAGGTTTATATCACAATAAAAAAGTATTGCTACTTGCTATAGTATCTCTATATTAAACCTGAAAACCATTATATTAGGAAGGATTTGTTTGACAATTGGTTTTTTTGTAAAAAGTGGGTAGTCTGTTTTGGTTTCTAGTCAGACAGATAGCATGTTTACTACTACTGTGTGTGTATGTATATATGTATATATGTATATATATATATGGCTCAAAACACTGCAGTAGTAAGAGCTGGAGAGTCCGGGACTCCTCTGTGTGCCCTGCAGCTTTATTAATATTTTTAAAACTTGATTTGTAATGGTTTAATTGTCTTTAATGGGCACCTTGTACTATGTCTTATAAGGCCAGAAATAGTGTTAACTAAATTAGTAGCATATGGGGTAGCAAGGCTGGATCGCACTAGCCTGGCCTTGTTGCACTGTCACAAATCACATGGCCATTCGAGGGCTGTGCTCCCTTCACCTGGCACACGCCTGCAGTGGCATGTACTTTTGGACACGAGGAGACAGCCTCACTGCCCCAGGCCAACACATCCTCCTGAGCAGCTGTGGCCATCAAGGACTTTAAAAGAGAGCCACAACTCCAGTGGCAGGGTGGGGCCGTGGCAGTTCCCTGGACTACCACGTGACAGTGAGTCTTCCATGGAAGTGTTCCTGTAGAGGAAAGGCTGCCTTTTCTCACCAACTGTCTAGTCATCTGGGTTGACCCAGGATTTCCTGTAGGCAGGGGAAGCTGCCAGAAGCGGATCGTTCTAAGGTTACAGATTTCCTGTCAAGTAATTTTCTGAGCCAGTAAGTTTTGTAGGCTCCCTTGCAAGGTTGATTTCATGCAAAGTGTGAGTGACAGCTGTGAGCTGATCATGTGGCTGTGACAGGCGCTGCCCTTTGTCAAGACTCACCAATGGCCATGCACATCTCTCTAAAAGCTTGTGGGGTTCCCCCCCCCCCGTGCTTATTGCCCCGTGAAGGGGGCTCTTAGCTGTGATGGACACACTCAGCAGAATACAGTTATAGAATGAACTGTCCCAGTTCAGACTGCTGATAGAGGATCTCGTTTTGGAATGTTCTCATACGTTAAGAACTTTATGCAAACAGAAGAGTAGCAGAGCAAGCCAAGACATGGCTTTTCTCCCTGCTGTGCTGGTTTTCTGCCTGCAGCAAGCTTTCATTGCACAGGGATGTTCAAAGCTGGAATACATCACTCACGGTCTGAAGTGGCCTGGTCCGTTTCAGACAGCGAGTGGTCTTACTGCATGGGTAAACCATGAGGAAAGACTGAGGAGTCTGGGACTCTTCAGTTTGGGGGGGGGGACACTGAGGGGGGGGACAAGATAGAGGTTTATAAAATTATGCACGGGGTCATGCAAATGGACAGAGAGAAATTTGTCTTCCTCTCCCATAATACTAGAATGAAGATGACGAGCAATAGCTGCAGGACAATCACTAATTAAATTGTGGAATTCACTGCCTGTCGATACAGTGATGGCTGCAAGCATAGATGCCTTTCAAAGGGGGTTTGGCAGATTCGTGGAGGAGAGGTCCACGAATGGCTACTAGCCAGGGTGAGTTAAGGGAACCTCCATATTCAGAGGCAGTGCTGGGAGGCCAACATTGGGAAGATCTTGGTCTCTGTGCCGTGTCTGTTGGCCCTCCAGGGCAAAGGGGTGACCATTGTGTGAAACACGCTGCTGTGCTGGATGGACCCCTGGTCTGATCCAGCTGGGCTGTTCATATGTTCTTACTGCTGTACAGCACTGGATTAAAATACTTTCTCTGCTAAGTTGCTGTTTAGTAGTTAGTGATATGTTAAACAACAAGAGGGTTGGGGCTTTACTTTTTTGGGGGAAGGGTAATGTTTAAAATTTAGGCTTAACGGTGTTTCGGGTTCTAAATTGGGCCATTGCAATTTTCCTCCTCCAAGTGGGATTCAGCTCTCCAGCCATACCTGATGGGCCTGTGTGGTGTTCTATTAAAATCCAGTCCATTAGATATGGGAATACAGAAACAGGAGTTGTCAAACTCCCTCCAGGCCACCGTACATAGCTGAAAGTAGGGTGCACTTGACTTGGTAGGTGTGTAAATACATCTCAGAAGAAGGGCTGATGCTCTTGTCGAAGATGGGCAGGAAATGTTTAGCAATAAGAAATACGTGTTCGCGCACACGTGTGTGCGTGTCATTTTGGTGAGGTCACAGAGCTCAGCGCATGCAGAAGCACCTGGATTCAGTCTCCAGGTTAAGAGTTCCCTGGTAGCTCTGCTGAAACAGCATAGGCTCGGAAGGGGTGATGCTCTGATTTGCGGTAAAGGTTTGCAGAGGCTCTGTAGCATGGCCGACCTGGCCATGAGCAAGAACTCTGAAGCCCATGCCTAGGCGAAGGTAGGAGAAGGGAACTATGGATTGACAGGGAAACGGCATTCAGATAGGACACCCCCCACACTGCAAGCTCAAAAGATCACCAGTTTAAGTAGACAGTGGTGGAAAAGGCCAGGGAAGTGACAGGGATCTGTCAGTGAAAAAGCATCCCCACTGGTAGGAATGAGGTAGTCGGAGACTCAGGCCTGGAGAGCCAAGGCTAGACCCAGCCTTACCATAACAGCAGTTTCATGCATCCAAAGCTATGAGGAGCCCAGGTGAGATGGAAAGCGTTACCTGTGTCCCGGTTGCATTCTTCACATGGATAACCTGGTGGCTGTCTATGAGGGCTGGCACCCAGACCTGCAGTTCAAGCTGCACCCCATACGGGTTTTTTCCATTTATCTGCAAGGCAGTGCCAAAGGTCAGAAAATGGCACTGTGCCTGCCCATGAACAGGCAACAAGGTGAGGGACGGTGGCCTCAAACTTACATTAAATTCAAAGCGAGTGTTCTGGGAGGCTCTTTTGCTCATGTTCACGTATAGAATAGGATCTGGCCTGGAGGCAAAAAATAAATCCGAATAAGACAACATTTTGATGTCTACGGTACAAACTATTTGCATCAGGATGGGTGGGGAAGGCTTGTGTGTCTCTTCTGAGAGAGTCACACATTAGGAGGCTGTCCTCATTTTGGTGCAAAAATGTATGCCGAGTCTCTCCTCTTCAGTATGCTAATAGTAATACTGGCCTATCTTACAGGGTTGTTGTAGAATTTACTGTCCCATGGAAAATGCTTCGAATACTTACAAAGTGCTATTTACATACAAATAGTATTACTGTTCTCTTATCCAAAAAAGTTTAAAGTGAATACCTATGCCACATGCTTAATCTATTCTAAAAAAAATTAAAATCAGCTTTATTACTAATAAAATTGGAAGGCCCCCCCCCCATTTTATTCTGAAAGGCTGTATTCAACACCCTGCCTCCTGCTCTTGCACTTTAGGATGGTGGAGTGCTTGGGGCCATTTACCTGCTGAGGAAAGTGCTGAAAGCATATTTCACGTTGAAGAAATGTTCTTCTATCAAGGTCGTGCTGTTTGGGTTGGTGCTGTCAAAATAAATAAAGCGTCAGCAGCATTTCTCTTTAAACCTCTCATCAGTGGTGGTGTCAAGTCACGGCTGACTTGTGGGGTTATGGGCTAGCCTGGTCATCGAGGTTTGGGTAAACCTCTCACTGCCACCACTTAAAGAGTGTCTCCTTCTACTTTACCAATGTAGTTGAGGAACTGCACACGGAAGCCCACACTGCAATAAATGAATTCCTCTTTAAAGCAAGGGCCGGCAACTGGCATCCTCTAAGCCAAATCAGACCTCTTCCTTTCGGAGTCCCCAGTTATCAACTCAAGAGGCAAAGGAGGTGGGATATGCCAACTAGCTGGTGCTGCTCTGCTCTGTCACCCACCTCTCTTTTCAGGACAGTTAAATCTGAGTCCAGTAGCAGCCACCTTAAGAGACCAACAAGAATTTTGGGGTATCTGCTTTTGAGAGTCAAAGCTCCCTTCAGATTGTCCTTCCTGCACAATGATATTGTTGTTGGGGTTTTGGGTGACTATTTTGTGTGTGTGGGTGTGCTTGCGAGCCTGGAAGTCATAGTGACTTCTGGCAACCCCTAGAGAAGAGAAGACAACACTGGATTTATACCCCATGGCCCTTCACTACCCGAAGGTGTCTCAGAGCGGCTTACAAACTCCTCCCCACAACAGACACCCTGTGAGGTTGGTGGGGCTGAGAGAGCTCTGACAGAAACTGCTCCTTTTCAAGGACAGCTCTTATCAGAACTACGGCTTGCCCAGGGTCATCCAGCCAGGTGCAAGTGGAGGAGTGGGGAATCAAACCCGGTTCTCGCAGATAAGAGTCCACACACTTAACCACTACACCAAAGTGGGGCTAGGACGTTTTTCAGAGAGATGGCTTGATTGCCTGCCTCTATGTCCTGGCCCTGGTATTCCTTGGAGGTCTCCCTTCCAAGTACTTGCCAGGGTCAGCCCTGCTTAGATTCTGAGATCTGACGAGATCGGGCTTGCCTGGGCTATCTGGGTCAGGGCCTGCACAACGGTATTGTTGACTTCGACTTTCAGAGGCCGGCACCCCCTGTCTTTTTGGTGCTAAAATTGACCAGAATCCTTCTGAAGCGCAGTTACAGTAGCACCTTTAAAGCATAATGTACGAGCATCCTGTACACAGCCATGGTGCCTTGCTTGAGCAGACAGATTCACACTTAAATCTATTTTTGGTCAATAACAGTTGTTTGCTCCGGCAATCAAGAACAAGGTTTTATTTACTTGCTGAGGTTAACAGTGATGCTTGGAGAATCGTTGGGGAACTTTCTTTCCTCTAATTGCCAGATCACGGAAAAATTTGCCTGTGGTGTAAAAGAGCAGAGAGATCAGTTGAATGTCCATAAAAACGGTCCCCTAAGCTTGTGCATTTTAAAACTCTGCCAGGCAGTCTTTGAGGCAGGTATTTGGCTGGCTAAACGTGGGCTGTTTAGTTCAAACCAATGTGTAAAATCCAGGCATGCACCTTCTCTTGGGGACTGACGTGATATCATGGAATGTTCACATTGTCGTTTCTCACCGCAGTGCTGCTGTTCCCAACCCTCTTATTCCCCTGGGGTCTGCGTAAGGGTTTCACTTAACCCTCCCTTCTGCTTGGCCCCATCTTCTGCACCCCTCTAGATCTCTTCCCTCATGATGCTGCCTCTCAGTCCAATGCAGCTCTCTGGTCCCTCTTCCTGACCAGCTTTGTTGTTCAGTGTAGAAATCATGTTTGCATCTCTCAGCTGTTGCTGCTGGCAACGAGCACAGGGCCTCCTGCCCTTCAGGCTCCTGTGAGGGGTTTCCCCATCCAAACTGGCCTTTCGCTTCTCCACAAACACTCTGCTGTGTGTTGACATTCTTCTGCTGACTGTTTCCTTCCCAGAAGTCAAGAGTATTTGTGAACATTCCATGACATCACAGTGCAAGGAAAACATGTGGTGTTATGTACCAGCCAACAGGCAAGGAAAGGTGTTGAATACCCTACTTGAAGGACAGTCGTCATTGCACAAAGGAATTGGTAAAAGGTAAAGGTTCCCTTGCTCGAAAGCCAGTCGAATCCGACTCTAGGGTTGCGGTGCTCATCTCCGTTTCAAAGCCGAGGAGCCAGCGCTGTCCGAAGACGTTTCTGTGGTCATGTGGCCGGCATGACTAACCACCAAGGCGCACGGAACGCTGTTACCTTCCCACCAAAGTGGTACCTATTTATTTACTTGCAATTTCTTGCTTTCGAACTGCTAGGTTGGCAGGAGCTGGAACTAGAGATGGGCGCTCACTCCATCATGCGGCACCCAGGTCTCAAACTGCTGAACTACTGACCTTCCACAGCCTGCAGTTCAGCATCTTAACCACTTGAGCCACCGCAGCACAAAGGAATACAACCCCTTTTAATCCATTCTGCAGGTGATTTACCGTAGTCCTGAACACGGGATGTCCAATCTTGCAGTTCAGAGAGGAGAACTGAGGCTTGGTTGGTTTAGGGGCATCACAGTCGATCGTTGCAGAAGAAATCTGCCAAGACACAGACAGCAGGATTCAAACCAGAATGCCCCCAAAACTCCTGTTCCCCGTCCCGGCTTCTTGCATTCCCAATTGTCAGCCTCACCAGCCAGTAAAGAGAGTCGCTGCCTCAGCCTGGGAGCTGGAGAGCTGAGATTGCCTAGCCAATCCCTGTGGATCGGAACCCCACCCCCCCAAGAGCAAGAATCAGCTTACCCTGTCCTCTGACAACAACTCCCCACCTGACGAAGGGGTTGAGTACTGCAAGAAAGGTGGGGGGGAAGGGTGTTAAATAGACACACGTTTTCATCTGTCACTTGGTTAATCTGGTTTTAAAACTGCCTTGCTGGATCGGACCGAGAGGGTCCCCATTCTCCCAGTTCAGTGTTCCCCACGAAGCTCACAAGCTGGCTATGAAAGTGACCGTCTTTCCTCATTGGTTGGGTCTCAGCATTTGGTACTCAGGTACACTGCTTCTGTACACAGAGGCTCCATTTCGCTATTACGGCTAATGCAAACCATATCACGCTGGCTGTCATCTCACAGGGACAGTTTGGTGTAGTGGTTAAGTGCGCGGACTCCAATCTGGGAGAACCGGGTTTGATTCCCCACTCCTCCACATGCACCTGCTGATGTGACCTTGGGTCAGTCACAAGCTCTGGCACAGCTGTCCTTGAAAAAGAGCAGTTTGTGTCAGAGTTCTCTCAGCCCCACCCACCTCACAGGGTGTCTGTTGTGGGGAGGGGAAGGGAAAGGAGTTTGTAAGCTGCTCTGAGACTTTAAGTGAAGGGCGAGGTATAAATCCAATCTCTTCTTCTTCTTCTAACAACCTAGCTGTCAAGGGTGGTGCGTCTCTGTATCCCGTTCCCCGCTCTGCCTTCCCTCCTGTTCCTTCTGCCCCCTCTCTGTTAGGAGTCTTGGCTCAGTTCTAGGGGTGATGCAGCTGGTTTCTGAATTACACTTGAGTTGCAAAAGGGTGCTCGGGCTGAGCACCGCTGCTAAGTAGCAACTCACCTCTTGGACCTTTTTGAAGCACAGGTTTTCTGGGTATTCCAAGACCACAGATGTCAGGTAAGAATTGTCACCCGTGTTTGCCAGGTGGAGGTTCATGGTCAGCTCCTTGGTGGCGCCAACCACCAGGTTCTTCCTGCGAGGATGTGGAAAGAGAAGAAGGGGGCACTTCAGAGCCAAGGGCACCCTCTGCTGGTACTTAGCCCAGGACTGTTCCTGTGCTTCTCACTCCTGTGCCCACCTCTCACCTCCTTGCTGGGTCAAGCTTCAATTCTGTGTGCCAGGGTGCCTCTGAAGGCAGGGAAGCCAGCAAAAAAAGGTGTCCGCGTGCCAGGTGCCTCCCAAGGGGAACCCTGAGTGTATGAACTCTGCAGTTAAGGCTGGCTGTGCTTCTCTGGGGCTTGCCTGTCTCTGGTAACAGACGGGGAAACTGCAGGGACCAATGCTCCCTCTAAGCTGTGGAGTCTTGTGAGCAAAAATTCTACTCTGAGCTGCTGGCATTGAAGTCGTGAGCGAACCACTGGGCTATGGCATAAACTAGTTTGCTCTGGAGCCCTCCTTCCTGAGCCAAGGCAAAAGTGTGAGAGCCGGAGGCTAAAACACTGTGGGCTAGCTCACACTAACTCAGCTTAGAGGGAACACTGGCAGGGACCAGTGCTCCCTCTAAGCTGTGGAGTCTTGTGAGCAAAAATTCTGCTTTGCGAGCTGCTGGCATTAAAGCTGTGAGCGAGCGATTTGGCTACTGCATAAGTTAGTTTGCTTGGAGCCATCCTTCCTGAGCTAAGACAAAAATGCGTGAGCCGGAGGGTAAAGAACTGTGAGCTAGCTCACACTAACTCAGCTTAGAGGGGACACTGGCAGGGACCCTGCTTGGCTTCCTAGATCTGATGAGATCAAGCTGGCCTGGGCTAACCAGGTCAGGGCTCATTAGGGCTGGGGTGGTTTTTTTCTTTCTTTTAAAGCTGAGATTCTCCAGGGAGCTGAAGTCTGCTTGTGTGGGATTGCAGCAGAACTCTGAATTAGGAATGGTTTATTTGCTTGGGGGTGGGGGGGTTAAAGCCAAACCAAGTCTACAAATCCACTTTCAGTATTGTCAGTGATGGGAAATCAGCTGCACAGGTGTGACACTGCCTTACACAGGGTTGGCCCATTGGTTATCTCGTACTCGCTCCATATTTTCTCAACTGGGAGGGAGAAGGGCGGCTCAGAACCATATTCAGATACCTAGGGGCAACGCCGTACCGACTGCAAAGTCACCCCTGAACGGCCGTAGGACGGCCATAGATCTATGCAGAAGGTACCATAAAACCTGATGATCAAAGGAAGCGAAAGTGGCACGCAATGCGGAGGGGAATTTCTGTTCCATTGTGGGTTTCGTAAAACAACGGAGGGAAGAGCCAATGCAGAATTGCCCACTATCTCCTTTGACTGGCAGAAGAGCTCCAGCACTTTAGAGGGAATAGCCCCCCCCCCCCCTGCCCTGCACCTCTCTCAGGGAAAACATTTTGCTGGTCTCCTTTGGCTCCTTCCGCATCCCCCATGTAGCCAATCTGGTCTCCCATTCCCCCCCCCAGTAGCCTCTTTGGGGCCAAAACAGACGTGAAGTCAGGAGATCCATAAACAGATCACCACGTGTTTTTTTTTAAAAAAACATGATAGATAGCCGCTGTGGTCCCTCCCTCTCCAAATCTAGATTGGGGCTGTGGTGCAGGGGAGGGGGAGTTATCCAGCTAGTAGGGATTAGAGCATAAGAGTGGGGAGAATCTCCCCCCCCCCCCCCCCCCCCAGCCACAAAGCTCCCTGGGAGACTTTGGCCTAGCCGCTCTCATTTTCTCTTCCAATTTACACGCGAATCCCTCACATGGTCTGGGAATTCCATGCTTCAAACTCACTTCCGAAGCATGTGGGAGCCCCAGCTGTGTTGGGATCACAGCACCCAGGGAGGGCGTGTCTGCCTCCCCCCCCCCCCCCCAGCTCAGCCATTTCCCTGATCCGAAAGAGCCCCAGGGAGCCCACACGTGCCCCACCGAGGAAACTTGCATGCAGCCCCCAGTACATGTCAGTTTCTCAAAGTAGGGAGCAAATAGCAGCCACCCAAGATCATTTCAGGTTGGGAAAATAGCACGGGAGATCCAAATCAGTCCTTTGTGCATCAGGAAATCGAGTTCCGAGCATGGAACTCCAGGCGCATGTATGACAGAAAGTCCTCGGGGCGGCACAAGAATTTTGTAACATGTGAATCTGACTCAACCACCTCACAGGATTGTTTTTGAGGATAAAATGAAGGGAGGGAGCTGTGTTGGCTGCCTCGAACGTCTTGGGGAAAAGGTAGGGCGAAAAAAGGTGATATAATCTGTAACCCTTGTGGCATTTCCCAGGCTTTGCTTGTATAACCCTTGCTCGTGGGGGAATGCCGTTGCTCCAGCAGGCCTGGGGGAGGGTTAACCCTCTGCCTAGTTTGGCCTTCAGACCTGCCATTTCTTACCCAGACAACCGACACATTCAGAGACTCACTCAGTATGAACAGCCAAGGTCAAATGTGGAGTGCAGACGGTCTTGTTACCGCAGTCATCCTTATAAGGCAACTGAAATTTGATAAGAATGGGGCGGGAGGAAGAGCAAAGGTTTATCCTCACTGTGCGGGAGAGAAGCTAAAACAGTGTCTGTTCCAAGACTGGAGAGAGAAGTGTTCAAAGCCATCTGGATTATAGACCAATCATTCTTTCCTCTGATGGAGGACAGGGCTGCTGAGGTTTTAATGAAGTGTGCCAAAGGGGAGATTTGGGCAGCTGCAGATGTTCCCCCACTCCTGCACACAAAACTGCACTTCCGCAAATCCCCTCTCCTGCAGAGCTGTGAGAGTGTTATGTCCGCTGACCGCCACCAGGCGTCAGCGACTCATACCAGAGCTTGGTTCTCAGAGACAATAGGGACTAGGATCCTGAAACCTCTAGAGGTCACCAATAGGGACTTTGGCAGGAAGTTTAAACCCTCCAATAGGACCTGTGGGTGGGCCAAGTACTGTATATAGTTGGCCGACCGGCCAGTACTTTCTGAGTTATGTTGTGTACGAGTAAACATGTGCTGACTATCACTCTGTTTCCTGATCATTCGATGCGTCGAACCCACTACACAACAGAGAGGAACAACAGCCCATCTTTTCTCCTCTGCCTCTGAACTTTGTGCATCCGACTCCTGTCTGAGCCCCGGAGGAGAAGAAAAACGATGGACAGATAAAAGCCCAGTCCTGCTGGGTACTCGGTACAATCCCGTCAGCCTCTTTGCTTGCCCTCCCCAGTGAAGGCAAGGCAGATGGAAATGCTTTTACTGTGACATAACTGTCAATATTTTGTTTAATCAATAAAAGAGGCATCAGCCTGATTACTCCTTTCCCTCCACTTGGCTCTGAGTTAGAGGGTGGGGGGGGGGGGGGGGGGAAGAAAGAAAATGCCACACTGTGTTCCCAAACAATTCAGTGCTTTGGCAGTTGCTTGGATTCCCCGAGCAGGGCTCAGATGGCCCCAACGACAGCCAGGTGTTGTGGGAATGCAACTGTAGCACTTGTCAGTATAAACTAACCCTGTATAAAGTGTTACCTGCACCTGTTCCCACCCCCTTTAGCTTCGTAATGGTCTGGTGAGTGCCCCTTACCAAGGCGGGGGTAGAATGTTAAAAGTTAGCTGGAATGAAGCACAAGGTGATTTAATAAAATTGTTTATTAGACTAATCAAGGCTAAAAGACAAACGCTCAGATGGCCCCAACGACAGCCAGGTGTTGTGGGAATGCAACTGTAGCACTTGTCAGTATAAACTAACCCTGTATAAAGTGTTACCTGCACCTGTTCCCACCCCCTTTAGGTTTGTAATGGTCTGGTGAAATTGCAAACAGGAAATTGCAAACAGGAGCCAAGCTGAAACTCTGTTTTCATGCCACACAGATATTCCAGTCTCCATCAGCACTTCAAAATGGAAAAATAACAATGCCTCAACTGTTGCATGTTTACCTGGAAGTACATCTCTGATTCCCGATATATATCAAGGATAGGCATGGGATCATTCAGGTCTTCACTGGAACTGTGAAGCCGGTAGCTGAGTCTGAAAGCAACGCTGGAGAAGCAATTGTTGTTGCATGGCTGGAATATAAACCAGCAAAAAAAAAAAGTTACAGCGACAAATAGAGACTGTAAAGATTCTTACAGGCAAAGGGCCTGGATTGTTTTGCGCCCCTCTGAGAGCTGGTAAGTTTCCTGGCCATTTTACAAGTCAGCTTCCTATGGAGGGTAAGGAACACTGGTTTATAAGTAGACAGGTTGAGAAGGGAGCAAACACGCAGGCCTAATAACGGTGCCAATCCCACAGCGGAATCAGCCCCAAAGCCGCACCAGCAACCCTGCTTCTGTTGGCCAGGCTCCAGAACTCTGCATGCTTCTCTGGCCAAATTCAAACGGCTCTTTTTTCGGGCTATTAGCATATCCATGTTTCACTGGCCAGAGTCCAAACGTATCCAGAAAGGTATAAAGACACACCTTATGCTGCCTTTTTAGACCAAGAGAGCCACTGTGAACCCTGTGAACCCGCTAGGCTTTTAACAACAGGAGATGATTGGGGGTCAGGTCCCACCACTGAACTGGGGCAGAGCAAATACACGCCCAGGCAGATGTGGGTTGCAGTTTCAGAAAGGTTGTGCAGAAGATTTCAGTGGATGACTGCCTGATGTTTACCATACCTGCTGATTGACAGGTTGAGGAAACCGCAAAAGGGGAGTGGGGATGTTTCAGAGAAGTGGCTTGACAGCCTGCCTCTGCCTCCCAGCCCTGGTATTCCTTGGAGGTCTCCTATCCAAATACTTGCCAGGGTCGGCCCTGCTCAGCTTCTGCGCTCTCTGACAACCTCGGGCTTGCCTGGGCTATCCAGGTCAGGGATATGGGGCCAGGTTTAACCTCTTATTTTGTCACCCTGATGTCTCTGGAAGCTCATAAAGGAAACCATGGCTGCTTTACGTAGCTACATGGAGACAGCTCGCCTCTGACTGTGGATATCTGATGTAGCCCCTGAGCACCTGATTCTCCAGGAATCTGTCTTTGTGACAAGGACTGAGCTCCGGGGCAGCTCATTATCTGGGGAATCTTCCCCATGGGATCTTTTGCCACAGCGGGCACTGTGGGTATGCACCTCGCCTCCTCCCTGCGCTCACCAGAACATACAGCTGCAGTGCGGCACACGGATGCTCAGTGAAGGAGATTGCGTGACTGAGGGTGGTCGCGTGGTCCTCAAACTGAACCCTCTTCTTTTCCATCTCAACGTCCAAATCCACATTGAAGCGAATGATTAGATTCCGCATTCCTAGGAGAGTAGAACAATTGTGGTGGTGGTGGGGGGGGGGGATCAGCCTTGCTGTGTAGCCGGGAATCTCTTGAAAAGGCCAGAGGAGATTTGAGCCCCTTCAGGTTTGGGGCTGCCTTTTTAAGTTATAAAAGGACGAAATTCAAACTTCTTGAAGTAATAAGACTATACGCATCAGATCAGACACATAAAATACAAGAATACAGAACTCTTTATTCATTTAACCCATTCCTTCTCAAATCAGAAACGGATGGGATGTCAGCAGAGTCCCCCATCTCACCTCTTCAGAATATTTCTCTGCTTTCCCTGTCAGCCTCTTCCTCATGCCCCGTAGTTTTAACAACCATTCTCTCGTCAGGGCGAGGCTGAGATTTCCAATTGTGCACAAATGCCATTCTTGACATAGTTAATATATTTAATACCATTTCTTGGTATGATTTGGGAGCCACTGCCATGTAGTTTAGTAGAAATGCTTCAGCCCCAAAGGGCAAATTAGGGCTGCCAAGTGGGGGCAGGTGGCGGGTAAACCCCCACTTTGGAGGCCTGATTTCCACCGCCGCGGAATCGGGCCCCGGGGGGAACCCCGCCCCTCGAAGCACAGCATGGCTGCGTCACCAAAGGTGACGCAACCATGTTGAGCACATTGGGGGCGTGGCCCCAATCGTCGGAGGGAAAACTCTATGGTTTTCCCTCCGATGATGGGGGCCACGCCTCCAACATGCTCAACGTCACACGTCACTTCCTGGACGTGCTGGCGTCGGAGAAGAGCTCCCGGATCCCCGCAACGCTCCCCCAACGGTAAGCCTTTTGCACATGGCAACCCTAGGACAATTTGATCTTTAAGACTCTAATGTTGGCAGCCATTTTCCAGGAGGTGAGGGGAGATCCTGTCACGTGTGGTGAACAGGCCCGTAGCTACAGTGGGGCATCTCAGGGCCTCCCCCCCCCGACTTATTGCCAAGCCCTCCCCCCCGACTTCCCATCCAGCCCAGGCCCCCCAACTTCCAATTTTTAATTTTATTTGTGGCGCTCCCTGGTGGGGTGCGTGGGGTTTCCCCCGACTTATTTAAAGCCCCCACAAATTAAAAAATCCTGGCTACAGGCCTGGTGGTGAATGGAGTCAGCAGACTTGAATTTTTCATACTGAATCGCTTTACTTTCACTCTGATCTTTAAACAAGAAAAAACAAACAAACCACAACACTAAGAGAAAGCTGGGTTGCCAACTCCAGGTTGGGAAGCTCCTGCAGATTTGGGGGTGGAGGACGAGAGGAGGAGGAGATTGGATTTATACCCTGCCCTTCACTCGGAGTCTCAGAACGGCTTACAAACGCCTTCCCCTTCCCCTCCCCACAACAGACACCCTGTAAGGTCAGTGGGGCTGAGAGAGCTCTGAGAGAAACTGCTCTTTTTCAAGGACACCTCTTGTCAGAACTATGGCTTGCCCAAGGCCATCCAACAGCTGCAGGTAGAGGAGTGTGGAATCAAACCTGGTTCTCCCAGATTAGAGTCCGTACACTTAATTACTACGCCAAACTGGGGCTTGTGGAGGGGTAGGGTTTGGGAAGGGAGCTCAGTGGGGTACAGTGCTGTAGAGTCCACCCTCCAGAGCAGCCATTTTCTCCAGGGGAACCAATTGCTCTATTCTGAAGATCAATTATAACTCTGGGAGAACTCCAGGCCACAGCTGGAAGTTGGCAACCATATATTCTGTAATTGGCCAAGTATTTAATCCCCTCCAAGTGAAGAGCCAGCATGGTGTAGTGGTCGTGGCTGGAATGTTAGGCTGAGGAGGCGACCCAGGTTTGCATCCCCGCAGTGCTCTCCCAAGCTCACTGGGCCAGTTGAACATTCTCAGCCTGACCGATCTCACACGTTTAGAGTTGGGAGGGTAAACAGAGGAAGGAAGGAACGTTAGTGTCGGGGCTTTTTTTCCCTTTTCTTTTTTTAGTGAAAAAAGGGGTGCTGGAACTCTCAAGGTGGAAATGAAGTTTTCAGTCTGTAATACTGTACAGGAGGGAGCAGGAGGGAGAAGCCTTGGAGGGCCGGTGGCTAGAGCCACGGACGTTGTTGCTGTTGGGGGGAAGCCTGGCAGCTGGGAGCCGCACAGGGCTCACCGCTGTTGTTGCTGGTGGCTGTGGTGGTGGTGGGAGAAACCTTGGAGAGTCAGTGGCTAGAGCCATGGCCGTTGCTGCTGTCAGGTGTGTGTGGGGGAACTTGGCGAGCCTAGCAGACCGCCTGCTGGGCTCACCCGTGGCCTCCTCCTCCTCCTCTGTGCTTCAGCAACCCAGCCACCCGGGAGCCGCGGGGAATACTCCCCCCCCGCGAGTATCGCGGGTCCCGCTTCTTGTAATCACTATTTCCATTACATCTGTCCTTCATTAAGAGCCATTTTCATAGATCTACACTCTTTATCAAACCATGGCTTATTTGTAGTGTTGTCTCCTCTACTTTTTTTTTGCACAGGGCTTTCTTATTACCATTTGTAACTGTTTAATTAATTCGTAGGCGTCAGAATGACTCTCTATTTGACTCTGTTGTTTCAGTATGTTTAATAACCCTGTCATAGCCTCAGAGTCCAACCGTCTGGCAACAGATTTCTCCACTAAGGCACTCCAAGAACCCTGATAGAATTCTTTCATTTCAAGATTATCCTCATAATTCTGATCTAAAGTTCGAATATCAGGGCTAGAAGTTCCACATCTCAGTATAAGAGGAAAATGATCACTATCTAGATAAGTTGAGACCTCAAATGACTCAATCGATTCGATCATGTTTTCTGAAACCAATAAATAATCAATGAGTATACTGAAACTCATTTTTAAAATAAGCTTGTCGAAGAGGTTCCGGAACTCTATTCTGGTGTATTTCCCCAGGGGAAAAAAACACACATGGATTTGTAATTATCAAAATAAATCAGACAGAGTGCATTTCTGTCTCCCCCTCTGGTAACAGAATTGGAGGCAGAGGCAAAACAGAGAGTGAGTCACTCCCTGAAAACTGTCCCCTGCAACTTAGAAATCTGTTTTGCACCCAGCGCTTTCTAAAAACGAATACAATCCAGCTTTATAAAGAGTTCTAGAGAACTTGAAATCCTGTATACTGTCTTGTGGTGCACATGGTTTTCAGTGGCTTCTACTAAACAGTGTTATACGGCTAGGGTTGTCAGGTCCCCTCAGGCCACCGGTGGGGGGTGGGGGGGCTCTCATTTTTGGAATTGTGATGACAAGGTGTTGGGATGATATCATCAGTGTGTAAGGGAAAACGGCCCCACAAGGGGAGAAATCTCAGTGCTCTCTCTCTGATTTGGGAATCTGATATAGCAAGCCCCCACTGGGTGAAAGGGAGGCATTACAGGTGGAATTAGGGCCCCTAGAAACTCACGTCGATACTTCCAAAGGGGATTTTAGCGTGCATTAATGGGAAGGACAAAGCAATAGGGGGGAAAGCCAGAAAAACTGAAACCATTTTTGCTAGCAGAATAAACAAGCATGACTTTGCCAAGCTGCAGGAGTTACCTAAGCGCTAGGAATGCTGAGATTCTGTTCTAGAAACAAATTAGCTTCCTGTCAGCACAGAATAATTAAATCTCCTTACACTTCGGTCCCTGGATCCCTTGACGCAAACAAGAGCTGGCAATTGCTTGATTAATTTATCACCGGCATTTTCATTACCTGGCTGGGCTGTCTCAGGAGGGAAAGTTCTATGGAAGCATAATTTTGCAGCCACAGTGCTGCTGTTGTAGAAGCTGGATATTCTCTCGGGGGTAAATTGCATGATGGCATCCAATCGAAAAACCGGCCTGGAGCTAGATGGAGGAGGAGGAAACACAGAGACTGGTTTTAAAAGGATTCAGGTGGGTGGCCGTGTGGGTCTGAAGCAGCAGAACACGGTTGGAGTCCAGTGGGGCACCTTTAAGACCAACAAAGTTTTATTCATGGTATAAGCTTGCATGTGCACACACACTTCCTCAGATACAATGGAAGGCTTTTCAAGGATAACAGGCTCTGAGGAACTCTCAGAATGCTTCCAGCGGGGTGGCAGTTCCCCATCCGCTGCAGCAAAACCAAGCAGGAGTCCAGCAGAACTGTATGCCAGGGTTCCCCAACGCGGTGCCCGTGGGTACTATGGCACCCACTGAGCTTTTCAGAAAGTGGGCAGGGTTACTGTACGGCAGGGCTTGCTTTTGGTTCCCCTCCTTCAAATGAAAGGATTTTCCATGCCTGTAATAAAGCCACAGGAGCTGCGGTGGCTCAAGTGGTTAAGATGCTGAACTGCAGGCTGTGGAAGGTCAGTAGTTCAGCAGTTCGAGACCCGAGTTGCCGCATGATGGAGTGAGCTCCCGTCTCTAGTTCCAGCTCCTGCCAACCTAGCAGTTTGAAAGCAAGAAATTGCAAGTAGATAAATAGGTACCACTTCAGTGGGAAGGTAACAGCGTTCCGTGCACCTTGGTGTTTAGTCATGCCGGCCACATGACCATGGAAACATCTTCGGACAGCACTGGCTCTTCGGCTTTGAAACGGAGATGAGCACCGCAACCCTAGAGTCGGACTCGACTGGCTTTCAAGCAAGGGAACCTTTACCTTTACCTTAATAAAGCCACAGCCGTGGGAGGATGGGTAAACACCCAGGCTTTCTTTAGCTAGTGTGGGGTTCCATTCAATGCTCCCTTTAAGCTGTGGTGTTTCATATATAAGACAAACGAAGACAAACATACATAAATACAAATTAGGGGGAAATTCATTTGTATCAATATTTAACCTAGTTATTGACCTCATACTATATCCAAAACCTTCATTTCTTTTATCCACCTTATAATTGCTTACAATTAGATATATAGTTCTTATTTCCTTTAATTTTGATTATATGTATGAAAGTTTTATACATTATACTCTTCCATCCATTTATAAAATCTTGACCATGTGTCCTCAAGGTTTTCTTTGTTATGTCCTCTCAGAATTAAAGTTAAATTGTCCATCTCTGCTGTTTCCAGTATTTTATTTATAACTTCTTTCTTTGGAGGGACTTCATTTCTTTTCCAATATTTAGCATATAGTATTCTCGCTGCTGTCACTATGTGTATGGTAAGATAAAAGTCTTGTTTTTTGTATTTCTCTGGTGTTATATTCAATAAAAACAGTTCTGGTGTATAAGGTACAGTAGTTTTTAACACTTTTTGTAACAATTCATGTATTCAAAACCACTACTTTTTAACTTTATCACATGTCCGCCACATATGAAAAAATGAACCAACACCAATTTCCACCAATCATTTGGTAGGTCAGGATAAAATTTAACTAATTTGTCTGGAGTAACATACCATCTATAAAATATTTTATATATATTTTCCTCATAAAAAGTCATTTTAGTAATCTTTATATCCATTTTCCATACACATAACCATTGGTCTAAATCAATATTATGACCCAGATTTGATTAAGCTGTGGAGTCTTGTGAGCAAAAATTCGACTTTGTGAGCTCCTTGCATTAAAGTTGTAAGTGAGCGATTTGGCTACTGCCTAAATTAGTTTGCTCTGGAGCCATTCTTCCTGAGAGAAGACAAAAATGTGTGAGCTGGAGGCTAAAAGATCATGAGCTAGCTCACACTAACTCAGCTTAGAGGGAACACTGGCTCCATTCCCCCTTCAAGCTTTCCTTCTTTTTATTCCCAAGCCTCTTTCTCCATCCCTCCTCTTTATTCACCATCTATGATTCTTTGGCAAAGCGAGGAGGGAGATTCTGCATTTGGCTCTGCCTGGCAGCCATTTTTGGTGGGATTCACTGCCCCAAAAGCTTGGTGTGTGAGGCAAAGCATCCTCATTTCCCTCACAGCTGAATGTGGCAGAAAAATAAGCAAGCCTGGGGCATTTCTGTACAACAACCTGGATTAGCAGAGGCCTCTCTGTTTGGTTCCTCTCCCATAAGACTTTGCAGGTTTAGCTATTGTCATATCTCAAGCTTATCTCTAGGCTGACAAGGCACTCTACTCCAGGTTGCCAGACCCCGGGTCTGGGTGAGGGTTCCCCCCAGGGGTCATTTCCTGCAAGAGCGCACAGGAGCGGAACTCCGGCAGTAAGGAGCTCAGGAGGCGGAATAGCTAGCAATCCAGAACAGTCCAGTGGAGCCTGAGCGGTGGGTGTTGCCTTCTGATACACTTCCGGTGATGTCAGGGGATGTGGCATATGCAAATGAGTTATGCTAATAAGCTATGCTAATGAGCTCCTGTACCTCTTTTTCTTTGAAATGACCCGTGACTTCCAGTGATGCCAGGCGGTGTGGCACATGCAAATGTTATGCTAATAAGTTATGCTAATGAGCTCCTGCACCTTTTTTTGTACGAAATGACCCCTGGTTTCCCTGCTTCTAGGGGCTTCAATCTATCCCTGGCCAGCTGGCCAGTGGGAGAAGCCCCGCCCCCAAGTGTGACCACCCACCCACCCGGCCACCCCTCTCCCTCCCCTCCTACCCGATTTAAAGGGCTTCAGCTGATCGGCGGGGACCACATGATCCCCTTGCCATGGGGAGGGTTGCCACCTCTGGGCTGGGAAATTCTTGGAGATTTGGGAGTGGAGCCTGGAGAGGGCATGTATTGGGGGGCAAGAGGAGGGAGCTCAGCAGGGTATAGTGTCAGAAAGCCCACTCTCCAAAGCAGCCATTTTCTCCAGGCAACTTGTTCTCTGTCACCTGGAGATCAGCTGTAGGGTTGGCAACCCCAGGTCACACAGAGGCCAAAATGGCATTTGGAGAGAAGCGGAGAGAGTGCCAGCTTTGGAGGCTGGCAACTGGAGGCCAGCCAGGAAGCAGGAGCCCTGGGCGAAGGGAAGTTCCGAAGTACTAATCTGACTCTTATGACCTGCCATATTTGCTGATGGCACATCTTTGGCTTTTGGCAATAATGGGAAACGGTCAGCTCAGCAATTCAATCCATGCTTGACTTGAGAGGGTGCTGCTCCTGCCTACCGAAGCAAGGTGACTCTGCCCAGAGATCCCACGGCGATGTCTGGGAGACCGTCCGCCGTGAAGTCCAGACCACCGGCCACAGATCTTCCAAAATGCATGAGGCCTTGACCAAGCTGAGTTGCTGTTATCCTCTGGGAAGAGAAGGGCAACGATGTATAAACCCAGAGGTCCTTTCCTGCAGGAACGCACAGGAGCGGAGCTCCGGAAGTAAAGAGCCAAGGTGGCGGGCACATGCAACAAGCCCCACCCCCTGCTCCCAGCAGCCCTCAGTCAGAGCAAGAAGCAGCCAGGTAAGCTGCAGAGCCCCCCCCCCCCGGCCCAAAACAGTCCAGTGGCACCTTTAAGACCAAGTTTCATTCAGGTACAAGCTCTCCCTCCTCTGCGAGGACAGATCTGTACGTTCCCCCCCCCCAATAGCCAGAAATCCAAAACAGTCCGATTGAACCTGATTGGTGGGTGTTGCCTTCTGACACACTTCCGGTGATGTCAGAGGGTGTGGTATATGCAAATAAGTTATGCTAATGAGCTCCTGCACCTCTTTTTCTACGAAATGACCCCTGTATAAGCCCCTCCCTCTCCCCTAGATGAGATGCATCCTTCCTAGCCATCGCTCTCATCCAAGATTCCTTTCCATATTTAAGCTTTCCACATACTGCACTGCTGTGATGTCGCGGTTAAAATGATGGACTAGATTTCTGGGTTCAAATCCTCACTTAGCTGTCAAGCTTACGGGATGACTTTAGGCCAGTCACTCTTGCTCACCCTAACCAACTCCACAGGTTTGTAGTGAAGATAGTTAGATCTGGAACCCTGTCCTTCAAGACAAGGTAGAAGGAGGTTTAATTTTATGTTCACACTGACCCTGTGAGGAAGTTCGCCTGGGAAACGATGACTATCCCAAAGTGACTCCATTGGGTTTCATTGCTGAGCCAGGGTTTGATTCCAGGCAGCATCAATACGTTAGCTCAATAATTGCTAAGCAGTAATACTAGAGAACATAATTAAAGCCTTCTGTGAGCCCAAAGCAGCTGTTCCCAGAGGAGGCTGCCCACTGCATCTCTGAATGTTACTTTCCCCTTGCCTCTTTCCAACTAGACTCAAGTGTGACTGGGTAATTCTGCTCCGATGTAATCATATGTGACAGGCTCACTCAATCATATCCACTACAGACAAGGCAGCAATAGCACACTCCCCAGAGGAGGCTGCCTGTTGTATCTCTGCACGCATCACTGCTCTGCACTGATCTCTTTACAAAGTACACCAAGGAAGCAGAGTTCTCTCTGATGGGTAATTTCTGCCCTTACAAGCAACCCTTTTTTTTTTAGCTGTATGCCTTCCATTTAATTCAGAAATGAATGTGCTCCTGAATTTTGCAACCCTTCCCTTTTGACTTGAAAACCCCCATTTCATCGTTGTGGCTCCCCTGCATGGATCAAACCCACGACTCTTTATTTTTATGCCATTTTCTGTTTCCTTGTGCCGAATTTTTCTTATTAAATTAACACCGTGTTGCATGATATTTTTCGCAGCAGTTGCATATAAAAGGCATGTAAGTGGCACAAACATGGCATAAAAGTAACGAACTAGGAACCGCAGCAATGAAAATGGGCAGAATAAAAAAGCACCAAGGAAAAAGCAATGGGAAGGGGGCAGATTCCCTCACTCCCAGTCTAAACTCTGCACCATCATCCCGCTCCTACGAAGTCAAGAAGACTCCCTTGCCTGGGAGAAGGGACCCCGGATCCCATCCTTCTTGCCGTTGTATATGTAAACGCTGCCAAAAGAGCTGGGGTCCGCTTTGTGATGCTCAAGGGGCGCGCCAATTGCAACATCCCCATAGCCATCCTGGTCCACGTCTCCAATGCTGGCCACGGCGAACCCAAAGCTGGCGAAAGCCACGGCAGGCTGGCCACTTAAGTGCCCCTCCAGGGCAAAGAGGTTTGCCTGGGGAGGAAAGAGAAAGGAGAAGAGTGTCAGTTGGAGCAGTTTTCGCCTTGCTGCAGGCTACGCAGTGTATCTCAAGTAATTTTAATATATTTATTCGTTTTTGTGTATATATTTTTAAATCTATTTTTTCTATATTTCTTACAAATTATTCACCATAATATTAATGATCTCATAAACATTATCACATAGAAAGAATCATATATCCAATAATTGAAGTATCGTCTTTTGGAACGTGCTTTTCACTTTAGAGGATGCCTTGAGCTCATCAAGAGAGGCTTTTTGCAGCATTCATTGATGACATTTGGATTAATATCTTGGTATTTGGCAACCTTGTGTTTGGAAATATCTGTTGAACTCCCTGAGGAAGACCCTGAAACAGGAGGATATCTGGACCTCTGTTGGAGGAAGAATGAACACTAATTCAAAATAGACTTAAAGGAGCCACAGCCACATCATTGATCACCCTTTTCACTTTGAAAGGACCAAGATATTTCCAACCAAGTTTTCGGCTTAAAACTTTAATGTTTTTAGTAGATACATACCAGGGGTCGTTTCGTAGAAAAAGAGCTATGGGAACTCATTAGCATAACTCATTAGCATATGCCACACCCCCTGACATCACCAGAAGTGTGTCATAAGGCCACACCCCCTGACATCACCGGACGTGTGTCATAAGGCCACACACCCCGCCCCCAACGGTCCCGGTCACCGCTGCCGGCCTTGCAGCTCCACTGCTGAGCCCCATGAGGGGCCCGGCGGTGGACCTGCAAGGCCGGCGGGGGTGCAAGGAAGCCCTGTGAAGGCCCTCCCTGGCCCCAGGCAGGCAGGGGTGGGGAGAGGCAGGGAGGAAGCAACTTACCCTCCCTCTTCTCCTGCCTCCTCCTGGCTGAATGAGGGCCGGAAGCGGGGCGGCCGGAAGCAGGGGGCGGGGCTTCGTCATGTGCCCCGCCCCCGTACCTCACCCGGGGGAACTGCGATCCCCCGCGATCCCCCCCGAAATGACCTCTGATACATACACAGAGTCCCCAGGCTTCAGAGCCCACCCCTCCACCCTTCTCCTGTCAGCCTGACTCTTGTACGCCTCTTTGGCAGCATCCAAAGTTTTGCAAAGTAGTGGCCACGATTCCTTTAACCGTTGACACCACTGAGCTGCATCCCCTGTCCCCAAGTCATTGTTTCCTTCCAGGAAAGGCACAGGCAGGCTATCATAGCCATACAAAGCCTTAAACGGGGACAATCCGGTTGAGGAATGGCAAGTGTTGTCATAACAGAATTCGGCCAGGGGTAGCAGATCCACCCAATCATCCTGTTGATAATTGGTGAAGCAACGGAGGTATTGTTCCAAAGTTTGATTAACCCGTTCTGTCTGACTGTCAGTCTCTGGGTGATAGGCACTGCTCAGGCCCCGTTCCACCCCCATCAGTTTAATCAGCTCCCCCCAAAACCGGGAAATGAATTGGGTCCCCCTGTCGGACACCACTTTGGTCGGGAGCATGTGCAAACAGACTATGTGTAAAAGAAACACTTTGGCCAGAGCTTTTGCCGTGGGCAGGGAGACAAACGGAATGAAGTGTGCCTGTTTGGAAAATGAATCTACAACCACCCAAATGACAGTCATTGACTTGCTAGGTGGGAGATCCGTAATAAAGTCCATGGGTATCACCTCCCAGGTTCGGGTCGGAGTTCAATGAGGGTGTAACAAACCCGGGGTTTTTCCCGGTCTGGGTTTACTCATGGCACAAATTTGGCAAGACTTGACAAATGAAGATAAATCCTTCCTCATTTGCGGCCACCAGAACTGCCGCTGCAAGAGTTGAAGGGACTTAACAAAACCCGGTTGTCCCGACAATTTGGATCCATGCACGGCTTGCAACACCTCCCCCTTAAGGGAGAACGGAACAAACAGTTTATGTCTATGGTACCAACAGTCGTCGGCCTGAAGTTCAAAGTCTCCTTCTGCATCGATTACCGCCTTGTTGCCCTCCGTCGTGACTTGACAGCCCCTTTCCACCACCACCAACCCTCCCAGAACATAGCCAGGAAGATCACGTAAGCCCTGAGACTGTACCTCGTTATCAAAGCGATAAATGTAAACCTTTCCTTCTTCCCCAAAGACATGGAAAAACGGGGCTCCGACGAGCAGATGATCTGTCAGCCCATCTTGGTCGATGTCCAGTGGGCAGAGTACAGCGCCAAAGTAAGACCCAATCTGTGGCCCAGGAAAGAAAAGCAAAGAATCCTCCCGTAAGTGGCAAGGAGCTTCTGTACAGCTTGCTGTCCTCTTCTAGATGCCGATGCAGCAGAATTTCCACTTGTCATTTATTAAGACTGATTTATGTGTTCTTATTGAAGGCTCAAGGTAAGTAACATTTGGTACAATGCCACAGGATTTGCGCCGTCAAATCAAATGGCACAATTTACAGCAGTCTGCGTTTTGAGACACACAGAACTTGGTCAATCAGCATCTTGAGAAGCCTAGCTTTCATTTTAAAAAAACAACACACGAAGCAATGTACTAGCCCTCAGCACTGCAACAACAGTCTTGGAATCCAGCAATCAATACTGAGTGAGGTTTCAGAATTTGGTAGGGGGCGGGGGAGCTGTCCAGGGTTTATAGTTCTTAAGGGGCACGACACCCCTACCCTGCTTTGCGCTTTCCCATTCTAGAAGCTATGCTCCCTGCAAGCTGTGGAGTCTTGTGAGCAAAAATTCTACTCTGTGAGCTACTGGCATTAAAGTTGTGAGCCAGTGATTTGGCTACTGCATAAATTAGTTTGCTCTGGAGCCATCCTTCCTGAGCAAAGAAAACAATGTGTGAGCTGGAGGCTAAAAAACTGTGAGCTAGCTCACACTAACTCAGCTTAGGGAGAACACTGTCTAGAAGAATAAATTATGCAACACAAGCAAATATATGCAGCCTTGCATAATTTATGCATCAGATAATTAGGTTTCCCTGTGGGGCCCATCTGTAGAGAATTGTTTGTTTTTTACAGTGCAGAGAACAAAAAATGTTCACAGGGTACAGTATGTGCTGGTATGGTTCTTGGTGACTAATTCATCCCAATTTGCAACACACCGTCACTGGTTCCCAATACATCCCCAGGCTCAATTCAAGCAGTGAGATCTTTCGAAACCCTATAGAGATCTTTTTCATGTGGGTTATTTGCCCTTAAAAAGGTAAAGGTTCCCTTGCTCGAAAGCCAGTCGAGTCCAACTCTAGGGTTGCGGTGCTCATCTCCGTTTCAAAGCTGAAGAGCCAGCGCTGTCCGAAGACATTTCCGTGGTCATGTGGCCGGCATGACTAAACACCAAGGTGCACGAAGGCGCACAGAACGCTGTTACCTTCCCACCGAAGTGGTACCTATTTATCTACTTGCAATTTCTTGCTTTCAAACTGCTAGGTTGGCAAGAGCTGGAACGACTCCATCATGCGGCAACTCGGGTCTCGAACTGCTGAACTACTGACCTTCCACAGCCTGCAGTTCAGCGTCTTAACCACTTGAGCCACCGCAGCTCCTTTTATTTGCCCTTAGTTAGAAGCAATGGGAAAGGAGAACCCCCCCCCCCCCGCTTCCCCATAGAATTGTGGTGCATTTGTGCACCTTCTGGGGTTTCCCTGTCTTTTCTCTGATCTTTCTCAAACCTGCTTGGCTGTGGAGTTCTGGGAAGGATCAAAACAAAGCCTGGGGACTATGTGGGTGGGAAAGATTGGATTTTTTTCTGGTCTTGTCCAATGCTCCCTCTAAGCTGTGGTGTCTTATGAGCAAAAATCCTACTTTGTGAGTTCCTGGCATTAAAGTTGTGAGCGAGCGATTTGGCCACTGCATCAATTAGTTTGCTCTGGAGCCATCCTTCCTGAGTGAAGACAAAAATGTATGAGCCGGAGGCTAAAAAACTGTGAGCTAGCTCACACTAACTCAGCTTAGAGGTAGCCATTTTCCCTGGATACTTCTGCTTTTAAATTAGTTTCAGCTTGGAAGTGAACACAGGATATAAATTACCACAAAACCACTCTTGAAAAGCCCAGGGTAGATGGTGGCTGAAAGCAACCTGGCCACTGAAGGGGGAGGGGGGAATCAGTCCAGAATGAAAAAGAGACCGCGAATGGAATGTTCGGCGAGAGCGCAGAGGAGTACAGAAAGCGCGGGGGGGGAGAGCGAGGGAGATGCAGGGCTAGAGCGAGGCAAACGACAGTGCAGAAAGGGCCCCTGTCTCCACGGCAGCCATTTCCTTCCCCTGCCACTGGTGTGTGTGTGTGTTTTTCAATCAGCACTGAAATATTGCTATACCATTATAATGCTATTACTCTATGTGCGTGAGTTCTTTGACTTGCCAGCTTTCATTTTTTTTAAAAAAAGAAGTCTCTATCCCCTTTCTTGCAGAGGTAGGGTTGCCAGCTCCAGGTTGGGAAATTATTTAGGGGTGGAGCTTGGGGAGGGGAGGGGAGGGACCTCAGCAGGGTACAATGCCATGGAGTCCACCCTTCAGAGCAGCCGTGTTCTCCGGGGAGCTGACCTCTGTTGGCTGGTGATTGGTTGTAATTCTGGGAGATCTCCAGCCCCACCCTTAAGGTGGCAACCCTAAGCTACTTATTTAAAAAGAAAGAAAGAAAGTTGGAAACTCAAGCAAATTTGCTGTAGATTTTCCGGTTGCACATTTTGTTATAACATTATGACGCTATTCAATGGCCGATGGAAAAAACGGAAAAAGACCCAGTGGGGGTAGGGCGATGGCCACTGCGGAGGGACCCAGGCAGAGAAAATGCAGGGAAAGCTGCCTAAGGGATCCCTGCTGCTGCTTCGCTGTATCAACAGCTGCAGCAGCAACTAGGCAACACTGCATAGGAAACATCATCAGGATAGCCAGAGGACCCCTCTTCCTGGTGTCATGACCTAAATAGCCCAGGTTAGCCTGATCTTAGATCTCGGAAGCGAAGCGGGGTTGGCCTTGGTTAGTATTTGGATGGGAGACCACCAAGGAATACTGGGGCAATGATTCAGAGACAGGCAATGGCAAAATCACCTCTGAATCGTCTCTTGCTAAAAAAAAACCCCAACAAGTCTAGCTCAACACAGGGCAGAGCTAGAACTTCTAGCTGCCAGACAACCTAGCTGCCTCTTTTCTGTTTGTGACCATGGCTATACTGCACACAGTGCCACACATTAATTAATTAATTACTCTTCCTGGCATGAACCTGCCCTTCAGATGAGACCCTTCTCCATGTGCCCCTCCCCCTTTTTTGGCTCCCAGAAGGAGGTGCCTTTCTGTCGTGTGCTCAAGCGCTGAGAGCTCTCTCTCCCTAGGCATGTTGGCACCATCATCTCGGCTGACATTTAGGTGCCAGGCAAAGTCCATCCTGTCCTCTTGAACCTTGAACAATAATCTTGTTTTGCTGTAGTTTGGTATATTTTTGCTCATTCTTCTTTTAATGGATTGTTTTTAAAAAATCCTATGTGTTATATTCAGGGCTTTTTTTGTAGAAAAAGCCCAGCAGGAACTCATTAGCATATCCAGCCACACCCATGAGAGCATAGCTCATTAGCATATTAGGCTGCACCCCCATGTTACCAGAAGTATAGTCATCCAGCCACACCCACCTTTTGTTTCTTATTCTGTTTACCCTGTTTGTTGTCAAAACCTAGGGCTTTTTTGTAGCAGGAACTCCTTTGCATGTTAGGCCACACCCCTAATGTAGCCAATCCTAATGAGTTCCTGCTATTGGGTGTGGCCTATTATGCTAATGAGTTCCTGCTGGGCGGGGTCAACTTGGGGGCCAGCCGGAACTCTGTTCCTGTGCGTTCCTGCCCCAAAATAGCCCTGGTTATATTCTTTTTTATAAGCCCCATTGATGGCTGTATTTACTGGTTGTGAACCTGGAAAGTTACAGGGATGCAGAAAAGAGGCGGGAGGGGAACACTGCTTTTATTTATCCACGGTAGTCTCACTGTTATGTTCTTATTTACTTTATTTATTTCTTCTTTCAGTTTACTACCCTGCTCTAACCCCCTGAGCGGCTACAGTTACTCATTTATCCCTAACCTATGGCCACAATTATTAGGGGTGGGGACAATGCAGTATATTTTTATATACTTTCTTTTTACCCCACCTTCCTTCCCAATGGGGACCCAAAGCAGCTTACATCCTTCTCCTCTCCTCCGTTATATCCTCACAACAACCCTGTGGGGTAGGTTAGGCTGAGAGTGTGTGACTGGCCCAAGGTCGCCCAGCGAGCTTCCATTGCAGAGCAGAGATTGGAAGCTGGATCCCTCAGTTCTTAGTCCGACCCTAACCACTGCATCACACTGTCAGGTTATCTGAGACCTCAGGCCTTAACCTGTTTTTCAAGGCATCATACATGTTTCAGCCTTTATTTCTTCTGCAGCAGAAATGACTTTCCGCCTGCTATTTTTGTGCCTTGGTTGGCTGCCTCTATGTCTGGCTCGGCAGTTGGTGCCATTGCAAAGGACCAGTCAAACTGACACAAATACGGTTTAGGTCAGTTTGTGGTACGGCAACAAGTCTAGGGAGAACCATTTAGGAGGGACAGTGATGGATGGAGACCAATTTGTCAAGTAGGACTGTAGCAATAGGGAGGGTTTGCCAAGAATAGGTTGGACCGTTTCCTAATACAGAAACAGCATTTTCTTTTTTTTAAGTTGGACACAGGGCATGGTGGGCAGAGGGTTGGACTAGAATCCTTGAAGACACCAGTTTGAATTCCTGTTTCTGTCTGGGAAGTTTGCTGGGTGACCTTGGGCCTGTCATACAAGCCTCAGCCTGACTCACCTCACGGGGGGTGGGGTTTGTTGAGAGAAACAGAGGAGGAGGAGAACAACGGTCCATTCTGCATCTGGCATTCGCTCCACATTTTATCAGCACTTCACCTGGTGCCCCCTTGCCTCGGAACATCTGTTTTCACTGCATCACCTCAGATCCTGGTTTCTGCATTGGCTAGTGTCAGCTTCAACACTCGCTCCTGCATTGGTACGCAGATTTTTGGTCATTAGCCGCCTGAGCCAAGTAATTCATGGTGAGGTGATAAATAAAGGTAAAAGTTTCCCTTGCTCAAAACCTAGTCGAATCTGACTCTAGGGGGTGGTGCTCATCTCCGTTTCCAAGCCGAAGAGCCAGCGCTGTCCAAAGACGTTTCCATGGTCATGTGGCTGGCATGATTAAACACCGAGGCACGCGGAATGCTGTTACCTTCCC